GAAACTACCATTCTTACCTTGTCTGGTCTAAGAGCCCAGACCCCACAGCAACATGGCTGACTTTTAAATGCCTTCTGGGCAATTAGGGATGGGCAATAAATGCTGGCAAAGCCAGCAATGTCCACATCCCATAAATGAGATTTTTTTAAAAAGTAACAGGTCCAAACAGGTTGATTAAAATAACCAGAATATTATGGTCAGATTGCAGGCTGAACTTCTCTTTTGTTTAGGTTCTTGTGGTTCAGCAATAGTGTCCCCATCTCTGAGCCAGGAGGCCCAGGTTCAGATCCCACTTGCTCCAGAGATGTGTAACAACATCTCTGAACAGGATAATTATAAAGTCTTTATAAATAAATTATCTTTGATGCAGAGAAAATATGAGCATTTTACTTAATTTTAAATTAGTCATGATCAAATTCTCTCCCAATTTACCTCTATATGTTCTTTGGTGATCAGCCACGGTCGATGTGCTAGGATTTTGTTGATTTCATTGAGATTCCTCATTTTCTGAGGTACAAAGTTGAGGCCATTTAGCCATTCAGGATTTCCACCAACCTGAAGAAAGTCATTGATATGGAGGCTGACAAGGTAGGAACACTGATGCCGTGCAGCAGCCTGAAAGACAGATATACTATCAGAACAGACTTTATTCTGAATTTACTCATTCACACAAGAGATCAGAAAAATTCTGCCGATGTTTCACAAACAATTGTGAAGTGTTTCTCAAAATCTTGCTTTGAACCATAGCAAACAGGCAGCCTGAAAGTTCAAAAACTTCTTTGAAAACAAATGTTAAAATGTTGGTCTCGTGCTTGCTCGCTGTGCATTCATGAAGACTTTCAAACTATGATTCCATGTAAGGAACCTTGCAATACACTCAACTTCCTTCATGCTGCTCTCAATAACCCAGATGAATCTTTATTACACCAAAAAAACTACATACCATTGCTTGAAACAGACAACTCGAGTTCTGAAGAGTCACACTGAATTCAAATGTTAACTGTTTATCTCACCACATTTGCTGCCAGACTTGCTGAGTTTTTCCAGCATTTTGTTTTTAAATGCAGATTTCTAGCATTTTGTTGTAAAACATATGCATCATGCTATGAGCAGTCAGCTGCTGAAGCACCGTGAGAGGGAGAAACAGGAAACTTTATGAAAATCCCAAGAACTGGATTAGTTTGATCTTTGCCACTTGCAAATTCAGTGCTGTTCCAGCAATTTTATTCAATTTCCTTTAAGGAATTACAAAGTCCCCAAAGCACTACAAGAGGAACTTACCATTACTGCAATGTAATGTCTATAGTGGTAGGGTAAAGGGCCGTCCATCTGTAAAAGATAGTACTGTGTTTTCCAAAAGCTTTCAAGGTACTGTGGGTGCAAGCCCATCACCATGGTAACATTATCTACACGACCAGTGGAGACAAAGGCTTCAATGAAGATCTGTCTCTCGGCATCTTCTAGATCTTTCTGCAGAATCTGTAACCAAAAGAAATTTTAGATAAACTGTCAAATGATGATTCTTACCAATCCTAAACATCCCTTTCAATAGACACTTAACGTTAAAACTTCGCAATCTTAAAAAGGTAGTTGAAATGCTGAGAGATTCAGTTAAAGTCACCATCAGCCCAGAGGATCATAGGGCCACTCTCTCATAAGACAACTGGTGATGGTTTAACCTGAAGGAAACCATGCCTCAACTGAGGGGAGAGGTCAAGAGGGAGAGTTCTTCATATCCTCCTCAGCTGGTGTGGGAACTGAACCCACACTCCTAGCATTATTCTGCATTCCATAGACTCAGACAGGCAAAAGACTACTTACATGCATTTCCAACCAAACTGAGTTTAGGAGAAGCAATCCCATAATAATGGGGGAGTTTTAAATCAAAAGCTGTTCCTGGAAAACAATGCTTTCAATTTCAGAGTTTTCTGACAGATACATTGCAGCAAATTGTAAAACTCAAAAGACGTCCTGAACAAGGTACCTGGTTAAATGACTGCACTGGTTTGAGTGTAAAGTAGTCGGATTTTTTGAATAATATCGGACATATAACAACAGCCTCTGACCTTGAGAAACTGACCCCAATATCCCTGGCTCAGCAATGGAGAGTTTTCAGGTTTTTGTGCTTTGGTTTTCAACAATGTCAGCAACTGAATATTTGAAACTTACTTTTAAAACTCACATGGGCATTTTTAAACAATTCATTCTCGGGATGAAGGCATTGCTGGCTAAGCCAGCATTTACTGCTCATTCTTAATTGCTCTGAGGGCAGATCAGAGTCAACCACATTGCTGTGGGTCTGGAGTCACACGTAGGCCAGACCGGGTAAGGATGGTAGTTTCCTTCCCTAAAGGACATTAGTGAACCAGATGGGTTTTTCCAACAATCCACAATGACTTCACGGTCGTCTTTTGACTCTTAATTCCAGATTTTTGTTTTTATATATTGAATTCAATTTCCACCATATGCTGTGGCACGATTTGAATTTGGGTTCCGAGGACATTAGCTGGGTCTCAGGATTAACAGTCCAGCAATTAATACCACTAGGCCGTTGCCTCCCCTATAATCTGGAGACACATGTTGGCCAGTCTAGGTAATGATGGCAGTTACTTTTTAACCTTTTATTGAACCGGATAGACTTTTTCCTGACAACAATCATCATCAGATTATTAATTCCAGATAATTTCTGCCATAGCAGGATGTGAAACTGGATCCTGTGGCTTCTGGACAAATAGTCTAGCTGGTAAGTGTTGCTAGCAAAGCATACATTTACAATTTCCTGAATATAGTTCAAATTGAACTAGGTTACTTCTGGAGGAGCCACAAATATAATGGTATACTAGTAAAAAGCCAACTGTAAAACCTGGATGATTATGAACAGCTTTTAAATTCCATAAACCTCAAAATTTTACTGGCCCCGTCCTAAGCCACACCATATCCTGTTCATGGAGCACTTGTGCTCACTGACCTGTAATGCTTCTGAGTTAAGCAAGGCCTCAATTTAAAAATTCTTATTCTCATTTCAAATCTCTTCACAGCCTTGTCCTTCCCTTTTTGTAAACATTTCTGCATTCTTCAAATTGTGCTGGAGCATCCCTGATTTTAAAATCGTTCCACTGTCGGCAATTGTGCGTTCAGCTGACTGATTCCCAAGCTCCTTAAACCACTCTGATGACAGGACAAAGAATAAGCATGCTGCATAAGCAAAATCCCGGAAACAAACCTGAAACATAAGATCTGTTTCTGGTTCTGAAGTGTTAAGATTGCCTGAGGAAACGTACTGTCATTCCTTCAGTTCAACTCACGTCCACAGGGTTTAAGTTTTGCTGTCAATATCCATGATGATTCACTTCAAAGTAACACTATGCTCCCACTGTCCTTGTCTTTAAAGACTCCAGCGAGAAAAATAAATTATGGCAGATAGGCTGCTTTTCCTTCAGTTCAGAGTTTACACATCTACTTAAAAAGGAGATAGACAGGGTAGATGCAGGTAAGATGTTCCCTCGGGCTGGTGAGTCTAGAACCAGGGGGTACCATTTGAAAGTAAGGGAACATCATTTCAGACAGAGAGGAGTAGAATTTTCTGTTTTACTCATAAGGTGGTACATCTTGTAAATTCTCAATTGTCAGAGGGCTGTGCGAGCCCAGACTTCAAACATCTTTAAATTGAGGTTGATTGATTTCAGATTCCCAACGTGAAAGAGAGTCATGAGGGTAAAAGGCACTAAGTGTTCAATCAACCATGATCGCACTGAACGAAAGGGCAGACCTGACGGGCTGAATGGCCTACTCCTGTTCTTATGTTCTAGTGGGAACAGATCTAGGATCATTGAGAAGGGTGGAAACACAGAAGTGAAAGCAGATAGCAAGGAAGTAAAGCAAAGCTTTCTGATTATATTTATTCTTCTTAAAACTAGGCACAACTGAACTCCATGTTAAGCTGTGTCCACATGATATGCAGATATGAAAATAAGGAACAACTAGCTGCCAGTAAACAACTTCCCAGCTGATGTAATATAAGGCTCAGATTAGATCACTTGTTTACTTGAATTGCTGTACTGCCTTACACATGTTGGATCATGGATTTTCTGATCAATTTGTAGAATTAAGAAAAGGGAACAAAACCTCCTCGCGTCAGTTATTGATTCTGCACAGCAGGACTCCGACTCTCAACAAGAAACTCAGGAGGCAAAGTATAAAGTATGGATTAAAATGTTTACAGGACACGGCTGAGCTGCTTAGGGTCAGTGTTCAGCCTTTGCAGTTTTTGCAACCTCCAAACAAGGATTCTCCACCATTGTTAAAAGCAAAACTGGCAGCTTACATTGTCTTAAACGGGCAGCCACTTATTTTTAAAACAGAGACGAGCAGAAATTCTCGCTCCGAGTTGGACAGTTTTTGGAACTCTCTTCTTCGAAAGGTGGAGGAAGCAGAATCTTTGAATGCTTTTAAGCCGAAGTCAATAGATTCTTGATAAAGAAAGATGTGGGATGTGACAGTTATGTGGGGTAGACAGGAAAATGGAGTAAATTACATCAGCCATGATCTCACTGAATACTGCAGGGTTGAGGGGACCTACTCCTGCTCCTAACGTAGATGTGGGTATATTTACATAAATCACATGCACCATGACAATAGTTTCACAGAACCCCTCCACCCAAACCAGCTAGATTTCAATTCCCACACCCTTCCCTAACCCGCTCACCATCCTCCATCGTAATTCTTGTCACCTTTAAAAGGAAATGGTTCAAACCACTTTCTGAACAGCAGACTATGACACTCTCATCCCTGTTCATCTCCAAATGAGGCAATGAATTTCCTTTCAAAGCTAAATACACACAGTTACACTCTCAAACACAGCTACGTAAAGACTGGTGTTGTCTGAAAACCAACTTCTTTATTGACCATTCCTCACTTTGAGCAGGTTGCAGTAATGTAGGAAAGTGACAGCGCTGTGGAAGGATGATAAAATCCAAGCTGAGAAGTTAATTAATATCTGCAACAAGAGAGCCATTATCCTAAAGTGCTTGGCAATCAGACCCAGGGATGGGTTTGTAGAACTGACAGTCCTGTCCTGGGACCAGTCTACGTACACCACAACTGGTGGCTCTATTTTGGTGTTCAACAATAAACAATGTTTCTTTCTAGTCAGGTTTCCCAAGTTAATATACATATCATGTGCTTTTCCTGCATGCTCTAGTCACCAAATTGAGGCATTTTGATTGGAATTAACGCATTCCAAATTATCTTAAAAAGTGGGAGTTTCTGAAATCCAACATGGCCTCAGTCCGGAGACTGCTGGAACGATGGTAGAGTGTACTTGCACTGTCAAGTATTTTCACAATCCACTCCAAACAGATACTAAGCCATCACCCACCACAGAAACACCATCACATAAAAGCTCTTTTAAAATGCAGGAGCTTAATATCTTCAGTGACAAGGTGTCACACGGGAGGCTGCTAAAAAAAAAAACACAAGCCCATGGTCTTCTGAGCAACCTACTGGCTAGAGGATTGGCTGACTGGCAGAAGACAGACAATAGGGATAAACAGGTCTTTTTCAGGATGGCAGCTGTTGTCTAGTGGAGTTCTACAGAGGTCCGTGTTAGGACTACAAATTATTCATGTTGTACTTCAACTATCCGTTCAAAGGAACCGAGGTCATTATCATCTACAAACGTGGAAACACAAAGCTAGGTGGAGGGAGAGGTAGTGTTCAGGAAGTGCAGAGACTGCAGAAAGACTTGGACAGGCTAGGAGAGTGGGCAAAGAAGGGGCAGATGGAATACAATGTGGGAAAGTGAGATGTTATACATTTTGTAAAAATAGAGGCATTGGCTATATTTTCTAAATGGGGAAAGGCTTTGGAAATCTGAAGCACAAAGGAACTTAGGAGTCCTAGTTCTGGATTCTCTTAATTGGCAGTTAGGAAGACAAATGCAATGTTAGTATTAATTTCAAAAGGGCTAGAATACAACAGCAGCGATGTACTGCTGAGGTTGTAAAAGGCTCTGGTCAGACTGCATTTGGAATACTGAGAGCAGTTTTGGGCCCTGAATCTAAGCAAGGATGTGCCAGCATAAGAGAAATGCCAGACACAAGACTCCGCTAAGCAAGAGAGATGTTTACTTCAGGGGATGAAGTTTGGTATAGGAACCACAGGAATGGCCCTGCATGGGGAAGAGGCATGGTTGACATCAGGGCAGGTCCAGTAACATATAAAGTTTGGATATGGCAAGCGCACGGACCATTTGAAAGCTGCAAAAGTGTAATCGGTGGAAGAGCAAAACATGCCCGGTTCCTCGACTGCCATGATCAAATGGTGGAGCAGACTCGATGGGCCGAATAGCCTACTTCTGCTCCTATATCTCACGAGGTGTCTGAAAGTGGGGAGCAAGAAGATGTGACGTGTTTACAAACCAGACATTTGGTTAGGCAGTCGGGACCTTTGCTGATATTTATGTAGAGTTGAAGGCTCGACATTGCTGGAACCATGTTCCTGATATACATGGCAGCCTTATTGTTCAGGCTGTCCAACTGTCAGGGTCCAAATACAAAAACAAAACCTGCCAGTAGAACTGGTTCATGATGTCATCACTGCAGTTATATTGGCAGGGATATGTGGTCACATAGATGACAAGATTGCATCATACAGGAACACCTAAAACATTGTAAACAATTCAGGGCTGGAATCATTTATTTCTGAACAAAGGATTTGACAGTGATATTTAATGAGGCAGTGCTCAGGTAAAAGCTCTAGAGTGCATTACCAGAGTTAATGATAAAATCAAGGGGCATGTCAACATTTAAAGATCGACTAGCTAAATGTCTGTGGGAAAGAGGAATCAAATATGAAAAAGATGAAAGAGACAAAGGATTACAGCTAGAGTTCAGCATGAATGGATTGGACAGACATTTGTATGATGCAATTTCTATGTAACACAGATGAATCTTGAATAACTCAGAATGGAGGTGAAATAAATTTCATTAGGAAATGAAGCTCTAGAATTAAACCTGTTAAATCTGGAGTCTTCCTCACTGCTCTGCAGCCAATGCTCGTAAAACAAGTGTGGTTTATAAAAATAAAAGCAGAATAATCTTGATTCAATCCAAGAATTATAGTTTTGACACAAAAGGAACATTACAGCAGTAAGCACACACAATTAAACCAACAATGACTGGAATTCAAGAAGAGACGGTACCTCTTTGACTGGAATGAAGGCACTTGGACCCTGTCCTAATGGGCGAGGTATTTTCACTCTGCGATCCTAAGAAAAGTACAAGAAAGTCAAAGCTTGTATGACATCATTTGTTTTAAAAGGAATCAAAAACCTTTACATTTCAACTATTTAGAATATTTCACATTTTTATCAGAAGCTGGGTTTGAACCAGCACTTTCGCGTGGAGTGGAGAATAAGAGATTACAGTACAGACTCATTGGAACAACTTGTTCACTTGTCTTGTATTGTCTTTACATTATAAACACATTTGAACAAACACTTACAACTACACTTACCATCAGCAGGTACCAGTCATAGCTCAGGAAGAAGGGCACAGACTGAAGCACACAGTATTCCATTAGATCCTGCCAACCTTTCAAAGATGTGGAATTCTCTTGTATCAAACAATTCACTGACCTATTCCAAATACATGTAGTCTTCCTGTTTCTGAATTACTCAGAATTCCTCACTGATGTCACACCCATACTAATTGCAAAACCAATTAAAACATGTCTCTGTGCTCTACCACAGAATCCATCAGTTACATGTCCCACAGAAAGTTTTAAAAAACTGGGGAATTGAATACCGGTATAAAATTCAGTGTTTAGAGATAGTCAACCCCATTTTGCTCTCATTTGGTCAGGCTATAAAATAACTTCAACACAGTGGTTTCTCGGTTAGGGAAATAGAATACTCGATACTTAGCTAGGAAGGTCAGGGCTCAGTTCCCACATATGCGTGAGCTTAACTGCAGAATGAGATCGAGTTGACAAACAGAGAAATTGCTGCTCAATTTGAGAATTAGATGGAGCCTTGCTCCTTGGGGAAACAGCGGCCCAGATCACTTCTGATGTCATCCTTGTGTCCTGCTGGGAAATGCAGGTAGAGTTTGATCAGGAAGACGAGCCAGTTGGGCAAAGCTTCCAGCGGGAAATTGATGCCCACCATAATGAGGGCAAACTATCCTACTGCAGGAACCAACCTGCATCCTAGTTACCAGTTGTTAAACACTGTCTTATAATCACAGCCACTTGCAACTGTATCAGAAAGTGGAAGACTGGTGCAGAGTGGATCATAGGTGCTGAACGCAGGAATGCTTGAGAGCCCACTCCAAACCCAAAGTAAATAAGTGGTTGAGCTCTCATTCACTTAAACATTCCTGATGGCGTGTCAAAAGCACTTCAAGCAGAGCTGAAATAACCACAGCAAGGCAACAGAAGAATATGAAACGAGAAGGAAAGAATTTATATCAATAAACATTAAAGATGGAGAGAATTTGCCATTTGAAAAACAATTACATCCATGAAAGCAGAAAACAAGGACAAATCATGATATAAAGAAAGCTCATCAGGAGCGGCTGTCTCTAATTTGACTACAGTACTCACCTCTTCGCAGTAACTACTCCAAGTAGGAGCCCCAAGGACATGTGTAGCAGGAATTATAGGAGCAACTCAGAGTACTTTTCGACTTCAGAGTCATTCACCCCACTCCTCCAACAAAGGAACTGCAGTAAGATTTGAAGTTTAAATCTATTCAGTCTGAATACTGAGCTATAAAGTTTGTTTTAATGTGATGGAGGAATGACGTTTCACCCCAAAGCTCTGAATTGACATTTCTGTCTGACAGATCAGTGGCTTTTTTAATTTGGTGTCAGTTTGGACAAACCAAAATCATTCATCCTGCACACATTCATCCTCCTTAGTATCAGGCAAATGAAAACAGCTGCTTTTTTTTTCCTTCATTCAGGAAATATTTTTTCCAGTGGGAAGGCAAAAACACTTGCTGAAACTGCACAAATAAAATTTACTCAACGGTAAACTCTGATCAGCAGTAAGGGCACAGGGTAGTAAAAACACAAAGTTCTGTAACTGTATGGTGGGCAGAAACCAAATTCTGTTTCCATCTTCCTTTAGAGAGAGTTTGGAAGGTGACCACACAACCTCGAAAAGCAGCAGGTTCTGAAGGAGGACAGTTACGAGTCAACCACATTGCTGTGCTTCTGGAGTCACATGTAGGCCAGACCAGGCCAGGACGGCAGATTTCCTTCCCTGAACGACGTTAGTGAACCTGATTTTTATGACAATCAACATGGTCGCCTTTAGACAACCTTCTTATTCCCAATTTTTGTTAAATTCAAAGTTCATTATCTGCCAGAATGGTATTTGAACCCACACCCGGAGAACATTAGCCTGGGGTTTTCCCAGCAGAGAGGGAAAAAAAAAAAATAGGGAATAATTTCCACTTTCATCTTCAGTCTTTTCTCAACATAGACTGTCCAAAGAAGACTGTCCAAATTTCATTGCTACTCCCCAGGGCGGGAGAGACAGCATGTTGAACCAAAGTGTAGGCATAAAAATAGCTTTCTTCCAAGTTAGAATCAAGGCAATGCATACAACTGGGACTCTGTGTACTCTCTCCCTGGGTAATCCTGGGTAATTGAATTCCTGGCTTAGGCAAAAACTGACCGAAGAAAAATGATTACACATGGTTCTGAACGTGACACTGAGTAGCAAGCATATAGAAATACACAAGGTCCCATTTTAAAAGGGGAAACTTACACCATAGGAATGCAGGTGACATCAGAGAAGGGTCAAGCACCATTCAACTAGGGTTCAGTAAATTGCCAACGTTTCCCCCGAGAATAAGGGGCCATTTGGCCTGTCGGGTCTATTCATACTTTGGAGGCACAGTGTAGCCTAGGCCCACTCCACCCTTTTTGTCACAGCGCTGCATTATGTTTCCTTTTGGATTAGGCCGAGTGGTGAGATGCTACTTTCAGTGACATCAGCACCCAGAGCCCATCCAATGTTACTGCTCCATTGCCGAGCCTGAGTCAAAACAAATCGGCTTTTCTCCAATTCACTCAACACGAGGGTGTCACTGGTATTTATTACCCATCCCTAATTATTCAGAGGGCAGTTAGGAGTCAACCAAATTGCTGTGGGTCTGGAGTCACATGTAGGCCAGGCCAGGACAGCAGATTTCTGACAGAAGTTACTGAACCAGATAGGTTTTTATGACAATCAATATGGTCGCCTTTAGACTACCTTCTTATTCCCAATTTTTATTAAATTCAAAGTTCATTATCTGCCAGAGTGGGATTTGAACCCATGCCCTGCGAACACTGGCCTGGGGTTTTGGATTGCTAGCCCAGTGACATTACCATCATGTCACAGTCCTCCAGAGATTGAAAATCAAATTCAATGACTGGTGACCTCTTCTGGAATAGAATCACAGAACGGTCACAGCACACAAGGAAGTCATTGAGTCCACTGTCTCTATGCTGGCTCTCTGCAAAAGCAACTCACCTGCAGCCACTCCACTCTCCTGCAAATCTTTTACTTGCAGATCCAATTCCCTTTCAAAAGGGAGGACCAAGCCTGTCTGAATCACACTCTCAGGCAGCACATTCTGGATCCTAACTACTCTCTGTGTGGAGATGTTTTTCCTCATGTCACCATTGCTGTTTTTCTCACCTACCTTAAACAGGTACCTTCTGTTTCTCAATCCTGCCACGAGTTTCTCCCCCTCTACTTTATCTGGGCTCTGCAGGAGTTTGAACACATCTATTCAATGCCATCTCCTGCTTACAGGCAGCCATTGTTCACTCTCAATATTGTTGCCAATTTCTCAGGGTTATATCCATTCTTACCCTATTGAAGTTTTCTTCCTCTGCATTGCTTCTGGTTTCTTTTTTTTACATTCCACACATTGAAATTTATCAGTAAAGCTCTCTCAACTGCAAGTTTATGAAGACATAACTACTATCATCCAATTAAATCAGACAGGAGGCAAAATGTTCTCTCAGATGGGTCTTTGGAGCTTTCCTCCTGAAATGATGTTGGAAGCAGAGTCCTTGAATAAATTGAGTGTAAAGGTGGATAGATTCTTGTTAAGCAAGGAGGTGAAAGGTTATCAGGGGTAGGCAGGAATGCAGATTTGAGATTACAATCAGGTCAGCTATGATCTTATTGAATGGCAGGGCAGCTTTGAGGGACTGAATGGCCTAATTCCTGCTCTGAATTCCTATATTTGTACATTCCAGGTCCCCAGGCCTGTAAATCCAAATGCATTTTTTTCTAGCAGTGGTCCGGTGCTGACAGTGCCGAATTGTGCTTCTTTTTTTTTTAAAATTTGTTCATGGTATGTAGATGTCACTGGCTAGGCCAGCATTTATTGCCTCTCTCCAACTGTCCGGAGGACAGTGAAGGGTTGATCACATTTCTGTGGGCCTGGAGTCACATGCAGACTAGTTCAACTAAGGACAGATTTTCTAGGCCTCTTGTGGTACAATGGTAGCGTTCTTAGCTTTGAGCTAGAAGGCCTTGGTTCAAGTCCCACTTACTCCTGAGGCATGTCATAACATGTCTGAACAGGTTGATAAAGCAAGAACAGATTTCCTTCCTTAATATGTCAGCAATTTTTTTTAAATTGAATTCAAATTCCACCATCTGCCAAGGTGGGATTTGAATCCACTTCCTCAGAACATTAGTCTGGAGTTCTGGATTAGTACTCCAGTGATATTGGGGCATTTTCACTACACCACTGTCTCCCCAAGTGGCTGATTTTCCCTCTCCCTTTCTCTTCCCCTTCCTGAAAACCACCATTAAACCACAATTGCTGGGATCTGCAGAGCACCAAGTATGGAACTCAGTTGGGTCAAAGTTCAAGCCACAAGCCAGGGAGCCAGCACAAAAATCTAGACTGACATTCCAGTGCAGCACTGAGGGAGTGCTGCGGTGTCTCATGTGCCACCTTTCAGATGCTCCAGTTGTTCTTAGGCAGATGTGACCAATTCTGTGCTGCCATTTTGATATCTCCAGCATCTTGGTCAATCATTAAATCACATGACTCAACCAATTGGCATTTGTGGGAGTTTTCTGTGTACAAATGAGCTGCCATGTTTCTTACATTTTATATCAACTACACTTTGAAAGTACTTCATTAATTTTAAAGAACTTTGGAATGTCTCGAGGTTGTGAAATACAAGTCTCTTCTTTATTCTTCATTAATCTATCAGGAGAGAGTGGTTCTGGGAGATGGAGAGG